CCGTGATTCTCAACCAGGGGTAAATCTACCCCTTGGGAGTAAAAATTACATGGCAGGGGGTAAATAATTGATGTACCTGATGATTGAATAATAATTCAATTAAATTTCATTTTGTAAAATGTGTGTGTGTGTGTGAGAGAGAGAGAGAGAGAATGCTAAGAATGTGTGTGTGTGCCTCCATCATTAACCCCCTCGGCTTGATGTATTTCTCCATTTACCCCCTTACTTCCATACAAAAAATTCATAGCCATCATAAAGGGACAGAAAAACAAGAAGGTCAGAAAAAAAATATTATTCAGGTTTTGCACAAAAATAGAAAAGTTGAGAATCCCTGATCTAGGCAATGTTAAATTATTTTTTAATACTTAATAAATAATTTCTGATAATATTGAAACAATGTGCACATTTAAATAATTGAAAAGTAATGTGTGGTCATTTAGACATTCTTTAAATGTTGAAAAAATTATTTATTGTGAGGCATTTTTATAGAATAATCAAAATACATCTTACAACCTGTTTATTTAGATATTTATCCAGAACTTGTAGATTTTATTTTATATTATTTTCTTTATGGTAGAAAAAGCTTATCCAGGAAACTATGTGTTTTAAAACATATAAAAAATGAAAATTGTGAAAAAACTTTTGATAACATTACCTAAAGACTTTTATGTTTAAAATTAAAATTGTGGGAATCTGTTAATTTGTTTTGAACTCCCATTCTTTGTACTTGATATAACTTGATGATGTGTCTGATAATATGTTATTCAACTTAATCATAAAATTTCATATGTGAATTGCTAACACAAAATATACAGTCAATTTTGCATACTCAATTTGTCAGCAACATTTGTTATTCAAGAAAATTATATTCATAAGCAGGTTTACTTAGAAACCTCAGGGTAATTGGAGATTTTGCAACAAGATTTAAAACTAAAATAATCTTAAAAGTGTGTGAAGCAATAATTCTACCAAATATTCTGTTAGCCAAAGACAACAAATAAAAACTGGTCTGAAAAGACATTCTTGACAGCCCAAACTTTTTTGATAAGAGTTGCATTAACACAAATAATGTGTGTTTTGAATTTTGATTGACTCAGCAACTTATGGATAAATAATGAATCATCAGGGGTTATTTTTTGTTGGTTTCTTACATAATAATTAAAATCCAATGGAGAGAGTTAATATTTCTACTTAGTCATATGTTAGAATGTTGATCCAGGGGAAGACAGATTGAAAAAATTGTTAAATAAGGAATTTGCTGTAGTCTGTGTTATAAATTATTGGATTCAAGGTTCATTACCTTAGTTTAGAACATATATAGAGTTGTGTGAAGAAATATGATACGTTTTTCAGTTAGGTTAATGAAATTTATTAGCTAAATGGCTTCCTAAAACTTATTGGTTTGTGTGGTGTTTATTGTACCATTTCAGTGTTGCTATCATATTAAACTTTTCATCTTTACATACATTGACCTAGACGAAGAAATGTTCAATAGATTTTATTCAAATTTGCTGATGACCATAAAATTTTGGGTGTTGCTTACTGTGAGAAGGATGGTACTGCTTTACAGAAAGGTTTAGATTATTTGGTGAGTTGGTTAAATAAATGTTAGATGGCTTTTAATTATTATAAATGCAAGGTAATGCATGTGGGATATCACAGTTTTAATTATGAGTATAATTTTGATGGGAATAACATTAACAATGTTATGAATGAGAAAAGATCTTTGTGTTCTAGCCGATCACTCTCTTAAGCCATCCAAGCAATGTACTATTGCTAGGGGCAGGGAAAATAGGATGTTAGGTTGTATTTACAGAAATACTGAATAAAGTATAAAGAGGTTATGATATTAGTGTATAGGTCATTGGTTAGGCCACATTAGGAGTACTATATTCAGTCTTGGGCTCCTTACCTCAGAAACGCAATTAAATTTCAGATATCTAAATTGATTTTATTTAAATTACTATATTAAACTAAATGAAAGCTTAGCAAATCTCTTTTCAGCTGATTACACTTTGTCTTGTATCATGTGAATGTGAAATATTGGCATTATTTGCCAAGAATAATAAACACAAATTTCTAGAATGTAAATATTTCACTAAATAATTAGATTTTTCTGAGACTTAAATGTAAATAGAAACAAGAGGGAATCCTCAATAGGTACAGCACTTGAAATTCTTTTAGGCAGGATTAGAATGAATTAAACTATGAGACTTTTTTTCTCCTTTATATTAGCTATATTTTTGTGCACCAGCAATACCGAGTGTTGGGCACGCGTATATTCAATTCAATGTTATTGCTCATCAGGATCTTTACCAACCTACCTTCAACTTGAAATTCTTTTAGACAGGATTAGAATAAGCTAATCTATGAGACCTTGGGCATGGTCAAATACATCAGTTGAAAGGGTTTGACCTCCTGTAATAAGATCTCAAATCGGTCAAGATATGATGGAGCTATGAGCTAAAAGTTTGTAGTTGAAAAAAGAAACAGAAAAAACTTAGACCCATTCTATGAGCCGCTGTGCCACAGCTAAAAAGTTATTTCCAGAACATTATTGACATCTGGGTGGCAAAATATTTATCATCTGTACATTAAGCTATATCTTGGGTATAAGGGTTCTTAGAGTAGCTAATGATATTTAAAAAAGTCTGATTGTTAAAGCTTTACAGTAAAGCTAGTAATCATTTTTGAAAACACCACTCTAAACCAGTGATTGGATTGCCTCACACTTTTCAATCTAAAATTCTTTGTGTTTTTCTATAAATTGGAAATGCAAAATTTATAGTATTTTGAAAAACAAAAATATTATATTTAGTTCCATGTTGTTTGGCATAACTTGTTGCACTGTGACACATTTGCTGCCTTTTTATTTGCAAAGATAACTGTGATTAAAATATGCTTATATTTTATGAAGTAGCTTAAGTACTGAAATAATTTTTTATTCTGGCTTTTTATGTACAACCAGGGACCAAAGTTTTCAACGTAGTTATTAATTTTTTTTACTATGAATATTATGATCATCACCAATTTTGAAAAACAAATTGTGTTGGTGTAAAAAACTGTGTTAGTGTGGCCTAGAGCTAGTGACCCATTTACAAAATGTTTTCTACTACTCTAGTTTTTATACCAAAGTGAAGCACTGATGTTCAGAAAGATTGATAACCTCTTTACATAATACATGGGCTCATCCCAGATACAACTAAATTATCCTCGAGGAATAAGTGATTAACCTACCAGAGAGTCTATAGACAGTTCTAACTTTGTTATATGCTGCACTAAAGTAAAATGACCTTGTGCTTCCTTCTCAGAAAAACTAGGTTTGTCTCTCCAAGATGATAATTATAAGCACTACCACCTATTTTTATGATTGTCTAGGTGTCATTGTCAACATTGAAGTCATTTGGAACTTGAAGAAGAATACGCAGGTATAACATATGCTTGCTGAACTGTTTGTGTTGAAAATTATTGTGTAACCTTGGACTTTTTAGTAAATGGCTTAGATGTGTGGGCAATGGTTGTGGGAAGCTCTTGTATTTGTAAACAGGTTTCTAGTGAATGGCTAGTATAAAGGCCCAAATCTTACTTCCCCCATCAGAGTACATCTCAGAATACCCTAGCCATTTCAAGCAAAGCAGTATTTTGCTGAGTGATCTTTGTCTCCAGCCTTTTCTTTACAACTGAAAAGTACACTATAGTGTCTTAATACCAGTTTCTTGTGCTTGTCAAGAAATCACTTGAAATTAGTAAACAAACTACAGCAGGAGGAGATTTTGGATAAGAATAGATGCTGAACTCAGTACTGAACTTTTCTCTGCGACTTACACTGAAAAATAGCTTGTATCTGAAGGCCAAAAAACATAAAGAAAATTCATCCATTGAATTACTTCTTAATGGTGTCACAATTTTTGAGTTTGTTGTGTTCCTTCTGTTAGAGAACTGTGTAATTTTGATTTGTGATATGGAATGAAGCTTCCATCAGCTACTCATTCCTTCCAGCACCATTCAAGTTCTAGTAGTATTGTTGAGGATTTTTAAAAAAGAGACTGTTATTTAGGAGATGGGTCTTACATGACCAGAAACAGGGTATGCATTTCAGATTCTCCCAATACAGAGTTATTCTAGAAGCTCCATTTCTATGAATGACGGAAATTGATGTGGGAATACAAAAACTTACATTTAAAGAATATGAGGTAATAAGTATTATGGTTATTAAATTCTACTTCACCTTTGCATTTTCATATGTGTGATGTGTGTATTGTATCAAGTATCTGTGTATATATATATGTGCATGTTTAATTTTTATATGTAAAAGCACTTCATTTAGGTTTATTTGTATGGAATTGAATGAAGTTTGTGAATTAGCTGTGATCTGAATCTGAAGTTATTTAACAACGAATCTCATCTTTTTTTTTTACTGTAAAAACATTCAATAAAATATTTATAATTTTAATATATTATGCTTCAAAGTCTATAGTTATGTGTGTAGATATATTTTAACTTATGGATAATATGTATGATTTATCTCCTCTGATTAACCTTGACTTTTATTGGTCTTTATAAACTAACTTGTTGGCAAATTTTTACAGTGTAATTTCAGATCTTAACCTTCTGTTGACTAACCACATAGTTTCTCCTACTAATGTAATTATCTAAAAAAATACAGCTGTACAGATGAAAGCTATGTTATTCTTCTTTGATTATTTGCAGGAGAAGATGTACTTGCATTATTGCAAGCATCATGATATTAGCTTTCTTAATCTATAATTATTTTCTTTTTATTAATGTTTTTTTTGTAACTTTCAGGTTAGCAGAGATTAAGAAGGAAGAAGGAAATGTTTTTTATAAACAGAAGAAATACAGAGAAGCAATAGAGTTATACAACAGTGCCATAGGTAGATTACCTTTGTTGTTAAAATGTTTTTTTTTATATAAATGTACTTTGTAGTACTTGTACAGTGCCAGTATTGCCTTGTAAGTTCTACAGAAGTGTTGTATATAAGATACCATTGTTCTAATACAGCTTACTTATAGAGATATGTAACTTGTGGTCTTTTCTAACAAAGATACTATGTTCTAGCAAGTACAATCTGTAGACATCAAGTTGTGATATTTATATATAGTTTTTGTATGTAGGGGGATTTTTGTGTATTGATGTTTTTTATAGCTTCTTTATATGTGCATTAAATATCTAAATTTCACAGTTGTCTTTCAACTGAGTCAACCATGATAATATTAAATCAGGAGTGATGTTATGGACATTTAAAGTTGTGTGAAAGGTGGAATAAGAATAATGCTACAATGTATTTATACTTTATATAATAGGTAGTGTACTAATGTTGCTACAGTGTATCTCTATCTACATACTAAGTGGTACTTATACAACTCTGTAATAAGTATGGTACTAATGTTGATAGCTATAGTGTATCTGTAGCTATACACCAAATGGTTCTTGTACAACAATTTTGTAGGTAGGGTACTAATGTTGCTACAATGTATCTGTAGATATATGTACCAAGTGTTGCTCGTACAATAGTGTAATAGGTAGGGTATTAATGTTGCTACAATGTAGCTGTAAAGATATGTACTTTATGTTACTTATTCAACAGTGTAATTGGCAGGATAGTTATGTTCCTAAAGTGTATCTTTAGATATGGATCTCGGGACATTTGCATGAGAGTGTCATAGATAGGGCACTTAATGTTGTTACACTGTATCTACAGATGCATACCTTGTTGTACTTTTACAGTGATATCACATGTTAAAATAGCTTGTATGTGAAAAAATAAAAAATGGTTCATAATACAGATATAACTTTTAGTCCTTATTAATGTAGTAGTGTATAGCCTGTCAAAAATGATGAGGCAAGTACTACCAATCCCCACCCCATCCTATAGCTAACTGAAATAGATACATTTTGCAAAATTAAGCTTGACCAACAAAGAGGCTGAAAAGTGCAGTTGAAGCAGTCAAACATTGGTAAATTCCTTTGTGAGCCAATCAAAATTGAGATCATTCATGAAATGAATTTGTAGCATATTCATAGAATAATTTTGGGTAAAAATCAGTTAGATTAACAACTTCTAATATACAGAAAAGCCAGTGTGTTTTTGTAACACTACGTTCCAACAATGACTTTTATGTCATGTTGTTCAGCAACAAAAAGTATAACCAAATGTTGTTGTTAGTCTATGTACTGGAAGTATATAATGAAATGTATAGACAACAAAAATGGAAAATATTTGTTGATTTATTAATTTAATCTCCGTTGATTAGAGGTTTGTTTTTATTTAAAATGTTGGTGATATAACAGAAAGTAGCTTAATTCACAAATTATTTAAATTTAAAATTGAATAGATATTTTTAATTTCATGATAAATTTTATGCACTTGCCTCTAGATTAGGTGATCCCACACCACATCTTTACTTTAGCCTTGTTATACCAACACTCACTACACTTATAAGGTTTCATGGCACCCTTACCCCCTCATGGTCACATTGCACCCCTGTCATTAAAATCATTTTGGGCAGACAGCAATCGAACTGTTCGATCTGGATAAATGCATTTTGGCTTTTATGACTCCTCCTATTTCGAAATATCAGGTGTGATGTGACACACACTGGTTTTTTTATATAGGTTAGATTTTATAAATACTGTATATTTGAGGTTAGATACTGTATGTTTTACATTTCTGAATGTGAAGTTCCAAGCCAAGTATAACTTGTGAATGACAATGTATTTCTGTCTTAACATCTTATTGCAGAAAATTAGGTCATAGGTTCTTCACTTCAGGGTGGTTTGGCCTTGAAGAAAGGCCTACAGACAAAGTAGTTTGGGGGTGGAGAAGATGATTGTCCTGGTTTCAGTGAACCAGTTGGCTTGTAACAGCTGAACTTTTTGGTATCAGTTGAATATGTAGTATAAAGGTATAATGTAATTGTCAGTATTTCACTGTTAGAGAATTATTAGAATAAAAGTCTTTATAAGAGTTAGAAAAATATTTAAATCATAAATATTTTCACAATAAAACTTCTCTAACTTTTGTTGTTGCTGTAGCTTCCAACTTTCCTAGTTGAGATAAAAATAAAACTGTGTGGGTACTTGTTCAGGCTACTTCCTGTTTTCATCTAGGTAACAACATCACGTCATAATTTGCACAAAAACAAGTCTTAGAAGATATTTTTTATGAAATAAGACATGCATATAACAGACCTTGGCTTTAAGTGTCCATAATGCAACAGTGAACAGTGGATAAGTGTAGAATAATTGGATTTGTAACAGAGGTCTTGACTTTGTAATTACAATGTACAAGTTGAGTAGATATGACCTAGAAATATTGAATCGTATACTGGTTGAGTTTGTTTAATATGTAAAGTAGCCACACCCATTATCCTTTTTCTTTTTATTAAAATAAAAAATTCTAGTAAAGTATAAAAATGAGACATCAAACATGCAAATACTAAAAAACAGGTAATGTTTATTGTCATTCTTGTTATTTTTCTATCAGAATATGAACATTTTTGTTAGTATGTAAACTAGAAGTCATTTTCTCATTGGTTTAAGAAGCATTTGCCTAGGATTCTATGTTTCACAGTGTTTTTGCTGGAAGCTCTTTTTTTGAAAGCATCCTCCTTGGATACCATTTTCCATAATATTAGGCTGGAAGATCTTAGACAGCATCTTCCTAGGATTTAGTATTTTATAACGTTAAGCTGGAAGATCTTAGACAGCATCTTCCTGGGATTTAGTATTTTATAACGTTAAGCTGGTAGATCTTAGACAGCATCTTCCTAGGATTTAGTATTTTATAACATTAAGCTGGAAGATCTCAGTCAGCATCTTCCTAGGATTCAGTATTTTATAACGTTAAGCTGGAAGATCTTAGACAGCATCCTTCTAGGATTCAGTATTTTATAACGTTAAGCTGGAAGATCTCAGTCAGCATCTTCTTAGGATTCAGTATTTTATAACATTAAGCTGGAAGATCTTAGACAGCATCCTCCTAGGATTTAGTATTTTATAACGTTAAACTGGAAGATCTTAGATAGCATCCTCCTAGGATTCAGTATTTTGTAACGTTAAACTGGAAGATCTCAGACAGCATCCTCCTAGGATTCAGTATTTTATAACGTTAAGCTGGAAGATCTTAGACAGCATCCTCCTA